TTAAAAAAAGTATGAAGGGAAACTCTTACAACACCAAAGGTATGAAAGAGTGTGCGATGACATCTCAATAGCTGAGTGACCAAGCGTTTGGTGGCTACGGGTTTAAAATAACGCAGGTAACGTGTTTGTATGGCCTACAAATAAATGTGTCGTGTCTAGATATTTGTTCATACCGTACAATTTATATTTGTAAATCATTCATACCTATTATACTAATACAATTTATACTTTAGCGAGGTACATTAAAGGCAGGAGATGAAATTCAATAAAAAAAAACAATTACAATTCCGCCGGGACCTCTGCAAATTGGGTCGATTGCATAACGATCGTTGGGCCGTAAATCTCGAAGTTGGAACTGGGCAAAGTTACGGCCCATCGACCAATCGGAAGGGCGCTTATCGCCATCCAACGACATCGGCCCGTTTGCACGGAATCGAACCCAACTTTGTTAATTACCAAGCGAGGCAACGGGTGCTATCGCGGCAGATCATGCCGAATTTTAAATACCTGTCGTTTATCGAAATTCGGAATTTTCCCTTTCTCATACTTCTTTGCTTGTAATACTTATACCGTTTTGTAATAACATACGTAATTTTAAATTATTGTAAGTTTCTTCCAAACCAACTATTTTATAATTTTTTTTCTTTTTAAAACGGTACCTCTACATTAGGAGTTTCTTCTATAACGTGGAGGCGGTTAGATACAAAAATATGATAAGAATGACACATATCCAGGACATTCAAGCACTTGTTCTGAGTGAGATTTAAACCCCCAGCTCGCAGCTATACAACTAAATTCTTAGTCATTGCGATGGGGAGCCGTCAAAGTTGTAATAAATTGATAAAGAGAACCTTTTTTTTAAGTATTAATATGGTAATTATCAAATAGTTAAAAATTAGGCTACTTTTGATTACGACTCAGCGGGATACTTTAATAATTTTTGTAATCGATAAATTATAAGAAATTCGTACAAACGTCTTTAAAGATATTATATTATATCTTTAAAGTATATAATATATTATATTATAGATTTGTGTAATTTGAAACCAGAACGTGTAATTAATATATTTACAGTGAGGAAAAGGCAAGCATTAGTTCCATGAAAAGCCATTTTATTCTACTTTTAAACGATATTCTTTATATAGACAAGATAAATAAAATTAGCTTGACATAAATACAAAGAAACAAATTCGATTTAAGAATGGAAAAATAAACGTAGGCCTTGTAAATTAACCGCGGAAAGCTACAATGTAATGACTCGATCATTAAAGTCAATTGTAAATAGTGATTTTATGGTCGCATTAAATAAAATCGAGCCACAACATTCGATTATCGACACCGTATCGGTACGACATCGATACGTGAATTCGTTATCGCGCCGCCTTCATTATTTCACTCAGGAGTCACGTTACTGATACTGATTACATGAAGTAATTACTTGAGCGGACGTTTTATCGATATTCGTATAAGTACTGTTTAAGAAGCATTGGATATTATGAAGGATTTCTATGAAATTCAAATATTTTACGATGTGAAAAATATGAGTGGAATTAGAACATTAAAGTTATATTGATGGTAATATATCGTTTTTTTTTCACAGAAACGTGGTGACAAATTGGCATACAAATCACACGACGATAAGAGCATACTATAGTGTATAGATAGTCTAGTCTATAAATCTGCATACGTTTATTTTTGACAAAATTGCGTTATGACGCAGATGTATTTTACCCCTGAGGACTTGCAAATAAGAAACTACAGTCAAATCTCCAGATGTCGTTAATATTAGAAATATTACATATTATGTTGGTATTTTACGATGATATTCTGTGTTAACGTTGTCCTACAGCTGTAATAAAGCTTCAATGTTTTTGGCCTCAACCAAGGCGACAACTTCCAATTTATGAGACCGGAACTAGATATGGAGAATATTGATAGAATCAGGTGTTACTTTACGGAAATCCATTATAACAAAAATATTAATTACCTCGCAACCTTCCGCTAACTAAATACAATGATGTATATATCTATATATGTATATATCTATACACGTGTCGTATTATCGTCGATGGTGTGTCTTACCTGGAATAGTGGTGTTGGAAGTAGTGGTGCCGGGAGTAGTGGTGTTGGGAGTAGCGGTGCTGGGACTAGTGGTGACGGAGTTAGTGCATGCAATTGAGGGAGGGCGGGAGGTGCTCTTCAATCCAGGTAATACACATCATTGTATTTAGTTAGCGGAAGGTTGCGAGGTAATTAATATTTTTATTATTATGGAGAATATTATTATATCCGTACAGTTACATCACATACTGTTAAATTCCACTGCTGAACATAGGCCTCCCCCATATATTGCTTCATAGGGGGGATATTTGCCATAGTTGCTACGCTTAGCCAGCGGGTTACCGACCGCAGTTTATTTTTATTTTTATTCGTTATTACGAAGACCCTGCTGCTCATCTCCTGATTTGTTTTCCTCTGTTATCTTTTACACCCGTGGGACGTCCTCGGGAAGAGATGAGGTAGTTGATATTCTTACACCGCCACTACATGGTATATATTACTTTGTCTATACTAAGCGCACCATGTGAGAATAGGAAAGGGTTACCTTTTTATAGATTATAAGGTGACAAACGGGCACACAGTCCACCTGATAGTTAGTGGTTGCCGTGAATGCTCTCTACACTCAATATACATAACACAACAGCAATATGTTGTTGTTTTATGAAATGGTATTCTGTGAGAGTGTGGTCCTTCCCCGCTCGAGCCAACCCATGCACGATGCAACTACAATACAGCTGCAACGTGGCTCTAACACGTAAAAGCTCTACTTTCGATACGTCAATTGTCATGAAAACATCAGACACATTGCCATTTTAAGATATTTTTTTTTATGAATGTAATTGGCAACAATATAAAAAATGTAATTTAATGGGGATAAATATTTATGGAAGCCTTGTATTACGGTGTGTAAGTATGAAAACGCGACATCGTTTGATATAACTTTTACACGGTTTCATTTTAGAATCGCTACAACGTACACGTTTCTTTATCATTTTTAAATTGAGAAAGGTGTTAAGATTTTCGTTTTTGACTCCCACGACACTCACATGTGTAAAACTACAGAGACCCTCCCTCTGGCGGGATGTGCTTTACAAACTAGGGTAAACACATCATTTTTAGGGTTCCGTAGTCAACTAGGAACCCTTATAGTTTCGCCATGTCTGTCTGTCCGTCTGTCCGTCCTCGCTTAATCTCTGTGTCCGTTAGCACTAGAAAGCTGAAATTTGGTACCAATATGTGTATCAATCACGCCGACGAAGTGGTAAAATAAAAATTGGAAAAAAATATTTTATTAGGGTAGCCCTCCTATATGTAAAGCGTGATGTGATTTTTTTTTAATTTCAACCCTAACGTGTGATATATTGTTGAAAAGGTATTTAAAAATGAATAGGGGTTAACTTTTGAACCATAAGTTTAGAAAATATGAAAAAAATCTGAAAAGTAGAACTTTATAAGGACTTTCTAGGAAAATTATTTTGAACTTGGATGGAAAGTCGGAGCGCCTGCCGCGGAGCGTGCAGTGTTGCACGCTCCATGTTCGCGCACGTACCCACTACCGGGAGCAGTTGCAGGAGCGCGGAGCGCTGCTGGAGCGCGAACATAATGGATACCCACCTTTAAACTCATAAGTGGGAACACTTATTGTGACGGACGGGAAACTACGGAACCCTACACTGAGCGTGGCCCGACACGCTCTTGGCCGCTTTTTATGTAGATCTTAATTAATTCTCAACATCTTTAAAATAATAGATTTCCGCATAATACTGAAATTAAACGCCTGATTCTATTAACTTGGTATGTTCAATTTCCAAAAATGATTATCATTTTGCACAAAATTATATTATTCACCTACAGAGGTTCAAAAAAGTTAGAAAGTATTGCTACGTTGCCTTAAATAAATAGATACTTTCAATAATAGTATGAATTTGGCAGAAGTGCTTCGAGGTATTGTCGGAATTAATGCCAGCTCCTAACATCTTTATTTCGATGGTAGGTCAACCAAGGAATTCCTGCACACCTCAATGTGAAATTTACAGCGGCTTTTCCGAATTGATATGACTTAGAAATCTTCAAGATCTTGTTCCTTTCCGCCGACAACGTACCATACTTGCAAATATTCTGATTTTGCAGATGTTCATGGGTGACAGTGATCAATTTCCATCAGGCAAGACGTGAAATGTTGGGTGTCATCTCCGACGCTCTACTGTAGTTTATTGTCTTTAGTTGACTGTAAGTGTACTTTGTCAACGTGATTTGAAGTTTATGTCAGATAAGTAGATATTTAACTTTGTTTCGTATTTTCCTAAAAATAGTAAATGTAAATGAAAATACAACTGCGTGACATAATTTACCGTGTTAGCTACCCTACGTGCATACGCTCAAGCGTTTCTCTGCTACGCAACTGTTTTTTTTTCGAATTAATTTTTGGACACAGGGGTCTTTGTTTTAAATATGATATTATGGGTGCGTTTGGCAGAAAAAAGCGCTAGCAAGCGCTTGTAAGCAAAATGGCGTTCGTAAGCGGTAAGCGCTGTCAAATCGTAAGTAGCTATTTTCCTCTAGGACACGAAGTTAGTTTTAACCGGGGAACCTAACCTAATTTAAATATATGTTTGTAAAGTATTCATATTAAAAACTTACCAATCATGAATTTTTAATAACATGTATATGTCTATTCATGTCATTATATTACTTACAACTAATATTGCACAAAACAACTTATAAACAATACTTCAAAACAAACAAATTATATAATAAAAATGGCGGATTGTGTCAGCGCTACTGAAGTTAGCAAACGTGTCCTGGCCCAAAACTGTTTAGTTTCGCCATTTTGCTTACAAGCGCTTGCTAGCGCTTTTTTCTGCCAAACGCACCCTATATGTCGAAACTGGGCTGGCTGGTTAATATGTAAATTCGAAAAAAGAACGCTAGAGCATTACCTGGCGATCTCTCGCTGCGCCGCATGCAGCTTGCCCGCGAGCTGCGCCGCGTCCTGCTCGGCGCCGCGCGCCCGCGCCTCCCAGTCGCCGCGCGCGCGCCGCTCGCGCTCCGCATCGCTGCGCGCCGCTCCCTCACGCTGCAACAAACTTGCCTTGTTACATACTGCTCGCAAAATATTACACACCTCAAACATATTTTATACATGAATTATCATTACTGCCTGTTAAACTCCACTGCTGAACATAGGCCTCCCTCGTAGATAGGATAGGATATGCCGGATGTAGGATGTCGGAGGGATATCTGAAATAGTTGCCACGCTTGGCAATTAGGTTGGAACCGCAGTTTTTTTTATTTTTAGTCGTTATCAAAGAGATGCTGCTGCCCCTCTCCCGATTTGTTCCCCTCTGTCGTCTCTTACGACACCCACGGGATGATATGGGGTAGTGGAAATTCTTACACCGTATCGCCACCACACAATAAACATTTACATATCGCTCAAAATTTTTTTTACAATATCTACTCTTAATGAATTGATTTGGAAACCCATTATTAACTTCCCGCTAAAAAAATTAATTATTTTCAAAAGTCGTGTATTGTTTTTATCCCGCTTTTCGAAAAACTAATCAGCTTTTAGCCTAGAAAAACCACGTCGATCGCCGCTGGTCCGGTCAAAATCGGTTGATTCGTTCGTGAGATAACGAAAAATTTTGAAAAAATAGATTTTTTTTTTAAATACTCAGATATTTAATATGAACGTCATAATTTGGTGAAATTTGGACCACTTTGCATTTGAAATTAGCGGGAAGTTCTAGGGATGGCCTGCAGGGTCAACTAATTTTTTTTATATAGAATAAGGGTGGCAACAAGCACGCAGTCCATATGACGGTTAGTGGATGCTATGCAACATAGATACGAGTATATAATCTCTCATCGATTAAGAATCAAAATGCAGATGGGTTGTCATCCTTTAGGACTAAGATGGAGTACAGTGTTATCTTTTTACTTGTCTCTGGTTCTCTTCTAACTAACTAACGTCCTCCAGACCGAATTTTGGTCACTGCATCCAGTCTCTGAGAGTCTGAGAAAGTCTCACAGAGACTAAGTCATCTGCGCACGAGAGGAGTATTGATTGACCGACCAATTGTATGCGCAAACACAGGTACACTCTCAAATTCTTTTCGGCATTTCGACACAACCGAAAAGAGATCAGGTGTAGTGTCAACGACTTTACGAGGCACGTGGGTGATACCCACCAAATTCTTGACTCTAGACTGTTACGGTAACTAATGTTGACCTTACCCGGGGTTCGAGTCCTGGACAACATGATCAGAAGTCGCGCCTATAACTAGTAAACCAATGAAGCAGTCGCTTCTCGACACTCACTATACGAACAAAACACAACAGCATTATTTTGCTATTTTACGTTTTTATTCTGTGAGAGCATAACACTATTACTACGGTCAAGCTGAACTGTTCATGCTACAGCTAGCTTGACTGCAATGTGGCTCTACCCAGTAAAAAAAACCTAAAACCCATTATATCCTATTATTAATATAGTTCTTTCATTCAGAGAAAAGAATGCGAAGAGAATGACAACCGACAAAACTTCAATTTCCTTCAAACAATAAGGTTCACAAAACTGCCGCTTGTAAAGAAATATTATCTCGCGTAGTATCTCATTGTTCGTTATTAAAGTACACTGATGAAACGACAGAAACAGCAGACGTCCTGTCAACCTTTCGGAAATAGGCAACAGTCTCAATTTCCTTGTTCTGATAAAATTTTATCGAGTATTCCACGAACCAAACTATCGCTTTTAAACTTCGCGTCGGATTTAAACCCAATTTACTCAAGCATATTTGATATCACGCATCGTTCGTTACGGATCCGTCTGCAACATGTGTTGCGGGATTTTAAAACGAATGTTAAGACTAGTTGTCAGTACTAGTAACGAAATGTTGTTTTCATTTTCAATTCAATTATAATTGAACTGGACGAACAGGACGATGTACTGGACGGTTTCTTTTATAGATAAATGTGACAAGCGAGCACACAGACCACCTGATGGTAAGTGGTTGCTGTGGCCCATAAACATCTACAATTTATCCTCGATTTAGAATCAAAACGCAGATACGTTGTCAACCATAAGGACTAAGATGGAATGCCTCGTTTCCAGTAAAAAGGGTCTCCGGTTCTCTACACTCACCATACGAAACACAGCAGCATTATGCTGCTATTTAACGCTGCTATTTAACGTAAAGGAACGTAATTATATTGTTCTTTTATTTTATATTACCAATATGATGCATGTAGATGACTATCAGGTATAGAGTACATTATTTAGGTTATTTATTTAATTTGTACGTATGTTATGTATCATATCATATCATATTTTTAATGCACCTCCTTTTCTCTGTTTAGCTCGTGGTTGACTAGTAGTGAATGCCTAAAGGCACTAAGTCCACCAATTGTACACTTTACGTGCAAGAAGGATTTTTAAATAAATAAATAAATATAAAAACTATCACAGTAAATTTTATAGTTAGCGACCAACCCGTGTTCGATCCTTGCCGGCACTAATTAAATTGTGAAATTAAATTTAACACTTAAAATTTAATTTCACAATTTAATTGTTTGTGTTAGTCAGTGAAGGAAAACATCCTGAAGAAACATGAATGTCTGGGGAATTAAAGTATTTTGAAGGCATCATGTGATGTCGGCCAACACGCACTGGAGCGTCGCGACGGACTTATTGATCCATAACCTTCTTAGAAATGATAGGAGAGTATAGAGGAAAATTCAGTGACCACCTGTGCCCTGTTGGACGTATGTCACTATAATTTTATTAAGTAATTCTGACAAATGACCACAAAGTTCACTTGATAGTAAGTGGATGTTGTGGCCCATAGACATCTACATTTATCCTCATTTAAGAATCAAAATACGAATGCGTTGTCACTCTTAAGGATTAAGATGGAATGCCTTGTATTCAGTAAAAAAGGGCTTCGATTCTCTGCACTCACCATATGAAAGACATCAGCATTAGACTGCTATTTCACGCTGGTATTATATGAGAGCATGGTCCTTTCCCAGCCGATATGACTTAATAATCCTACAACCATAATATAGCTCTGCCTACGTAATTTAACTACTAAAGTAACTGTTTTACAATTCTTAAAATAACATATTAATCACTTTAATATATTTGTAGGTTTCAGGATAAGGAAGTTGATAGTCCCTATTCCTCTGGGTGACAGGCGTGAGTGTTTATAGTTTTAAAACAGACTGTGAAACTTGTTTCCCGTATTACAACAATAAAAAACGGACATTGCATTTCAACAAACTCTCTGCAACTGTCAGCTGAGGATAAAGAAGATCTTATTGCCTGTTTTATCATGTATTAAGCAACAAAAAAAAAACTACTTTTAAATCTGAGGATAAATGCTTGCGACAGACGCCCTTTCCACGTGTTACCTGCAGTTTTTGCAGGTTTAGCAAAAGATTTGCTGTGATTTAAATCACTACCTTCTAGCGTGATTTTTCTTTACGTATTATACAGTATGGATGTTGGGTAGTTTTAGATATTTGGACATCCTCGTGGTGTAGTGGTTGTGAGAGTGATCAGCAAATCATGTGGCCTTGGGTTCGAATTCCAGGTTGGACCAAAATCAGTTATGGAGTTTTACTGTCAAGAAAATTTCAGCAGCAGCCCGGAGTTTGGAGATTGGCAGTGTTTTACCCTATTGCCTCAGAAAGCACATAGGCTCATTGCTCCTCCGTCTAATTTTGAGCTCTTTCTGTCACTTTCTCTACAATATCGTTCACGTGTACGTTTATGTGTGATACAGCCATGTTGCTATATATAATGAGTCGTCCCAACCGTGGAAGTATCACGCTCACACATGATAACAGCGTAAAATAGCAGCTCAATGCTGTGTTCCGTATGGTGAGTGCAAAGAACCGAAGGCCTTTTTTTACTGAATACGAAGCTTTCCATCTTAGTCCTCAGGGGTGATAACGCATCTGGAATCTAAATCTTAACCGAGGGTAAATGTAGATGTCTATGGGCCACAATTTCCACTTGCCATCAGGTGGGCTGCGTGTTCGCTTGTCATGTTTATTCTATACATAAAAAAATATCATTGCAATTGCATAAAACAATTATTTATTTCACAATGAAATCGCTTACGCTTATATTTTGTACTATATCCCTAAGTTCCTGTACCTAGCATGAAGTTTGATGAAGTTTTAATTGAAAATTAGTCTTGGCCGTATCTTGCCGCCTCCAGTCCATTCGGTCCCGGTAGACCGGCAAACGAAGTGGATTTCGGACTTACTTAAAACTCAGGACAATTAGGTGTTACCAGCAACACGGTCGCCATGAAATTGGCTATAAATTATATTAGCTAAAAATAATTTTGCAACGTTCATTCTTTGCTTATTTCTGGTAAAATCAAAATTTATAAATTATGAATGAATTCTACAGCAACATGGTATTGTGAAATAGTAATATTAATCTACTTTTCGAATTTAATTTATCAAATATTTATTTGTATGGACAAATAAATAAATAAAGTTGTAGTGTCTGTGTGTAATGTCAAAATAACAGTTTTTTTTTTACTTAATGCATATGAAAGTATATACGGTACTTATAACAAAAAAGAGCAATTTTTAAATATTTTGTCTGTCTGTTTGTCAGATAGCAGATGTTATAAGGCTACATAGGCTACATTTATTTTAGAAAAAGAATTATGGTTCCGCGAATAAAAATGAAAACCTATGAATTTTAATCGTAATCATTTCGACGCGGACGTAATAACGCGGAACAGTTAGTAAATAATATAACAAAAAGGAGTTTTGGCGGGAATGTGACCAATGGCTGATTGTTGCTCCTGTTTTATCGTTTGAATACGTGGTAAATGATTAAAAGTTGATTTTGATCCGTATACGTGATGTGATTTTGTGTATTAAATGTCTGCGCATGTGAATTATTAGTGAAAACGATGTGAGACCCCCGATGGTGATGAGAGCCTCAAGCTATTTTATGGAATAGTACCATAGCTATGTGTCTGCTTAGTCACCTTGAGATACTGTCAGTATCAACTGTCTACTGGCTCAAGCTGCCATCAAAATTTAAAAATTTCGCAATGTGACGTACTGTGAAAAAGTTCTTGAACAGATTATTTTAAAGGA